GGGGGGGGGGGGGGGGGGGGGGGGAGGGGAGGGAGGAAGGGAGGAGCACAAAGCAACTAAGAGTGTGGGAAAGAGGGATGGATGGATGGATGAAGGCTGGAAACACACAGTAATGCTTATGACAGAAGTTTGTGAGTTTTTGCGAGGGGCAGAGAAAGTCAGTTGTGGGCCGCCCTAGAGAGGCAGCCAAGTGGCTGCCCCATATACAATATTTTTGGCAGCTGGAAAAACGGGGGGGGGGGGCAGCCTGCTCTTCATGCTGCTGCCTTTGAAACTGAAGCTGGGCGCCATGGCTGGCAAGGATCCATCTCACCCAGGGCTATCTGGAAAACATCACCCCGCTTCAGGGGTGGTGAAAACTCAGTGGGGAGCAAATGCAAACGGAAGGATGCAGGTGGCCGGTGAAGGAAGGGAAGAGCACTGGGAACAGCTGTGCCTCGGGGTTTTGAGTACGAGCTGCTGGGCATTCAGTTAAAAGAGAAACCGCAGACAAGGGAACCAGCAGAGCCTCTGAAATGCAAGCCGCCATTTTGCTTTAATACACTTAAAAAAAAAGTCTCTGCCCAACAGAGAAAGGACGCTCTGACCCCATTCCCAAGTGGAGCGGTCCAAAGACCATCTATTTGCAGGGGACCCCTGGATCCCCCAGGAGCGCGTGGGCCCAGGATCAGTGCCAGCAACGGAGGCAACCTTTATCACCCGGCCGATGGGCTAAGTGTGTGTTTTTTTAACAACTGCGAGGATCTGGAGTCCGTCTGAGAAGGAAGGAGGAATATAAAAAAATAAAGAGATTCTCAAATGAAAGGTTCCTTGAACACAGCTAGCATAGTGGAGGGACTGTCTTTGGACTCTGCGCGCCAGCCGCTATCGGATTTCCTTGACCGACCCGGGCTGCTGCAGCAGGAGTCTTCCTTGGCTCCAGAGGCTGGGAAGAGCCCCACTTACTCCGCCATCCAAAGCTTGAAGGTCCGGTCGTAAGAGCAAGTGGCAATCAGTTGCCCATCCAAGGAGATATCCAAGCCCATGACTTTGCCCTCGTGTCCCGCCAAGGTCTTCAGGGGGGACCAGCCAGGGTGGGTCCAGACCTTGGCGGTGTTGTCGTAGGCCCCGGTCAACAGGAAGTTGCCATGATTTGCTGGAAGGAGGAAAGAAAGCACAAAGGGAGGTGATCGAGAGGGGCACAGAACTTGGGAGAGCCACCGATCCTGGGAAAGAGAGAACAACTGATCCCGGGAAACTGATCCTTTTGCAAGCAATTAGAAACAGGGAATGGGAGGGAAGAGGAGAGAATGTGTGAGAGGGAGGGAAAACTTACGGACTGGAGGGGCAGATGTGTTCCCCTGAGCCATAGCTAACCAAGTTGCTGAAAACGGGACAAAGTTTCCATCCATGTTGAGATAGGAAACTGTCAAAAGCACTTTAGCATAAAGGACATTTAAAAAGTAAAGCAGAAAACAATGCCCTAATCAAGGAACTACCAAGGAGAAAACCACACCCCACCCACACTGACAGGGCAAGCTACTGTGTATAAACAGGCAGCAAACCCCACCCTCCCTTGCACTGTTGATGTTACCTAGTTGGGTAATGAAACGTCTGCAAGCCAACAGCCAAGCTCAGAGAGCATCAAGGGCTCCACAGTTCAACCCTGAGCTATAGAGATTCTCTTCTATTGAAAAAGTAAAATCTCCTTTCCATCAGAGTTGGCTTCTGGTATCTTCACGGACAGGACCATACGGTGTTCTTGGCATTTATTTATTCTTTGATTTCCACCCTGCCTTTATTTTGGACAACTGAAAAACTTAAAATAATGCTCCCTCTCCCTCTATTTTCCTTACAGCAACCAACTGGGCTGTGGGTTGGGCTGAGAAAGTAATACTGGCCTAAAATCACCCAGTCAGTTTCTGGAACTCAGTCTCCCTGTTTCTAATCCAAAACTTTAAGCACTGCACGAATGGAAGGGATCTGTCATTATCTTCTGCTGAGAAACTTTTCCAACCTGACGGTTAGCCTACAGCCTGACAGTTCCAGGTGCTTCCCCCTCCAATCCTAACCAGGTTTGATGACAAAACTTAGCTTTTCTTAAGATCAGACAAAGCTGCTCCATTCCCCTCAAACCCGAGACCCACCCACGTGGCCCTCAGCAACCAAGAAAGTTGAGGCTCAAGTTTGAAAGCCTGGATTTTCCGCTCCTGCTACAAGACCACTGCAGAGAGACTTACGTTCAAACTTCACTCCGGTCACCAGATTCTGATGGGCAGGGATGGTGTAAATGCATCTCCTCTGGCGAAGATCCCAAACTTTGCAGGTGTTGTCTCCACTGCCAGTAGCAATGTGGTACCTTTGAACAGGGGAGGAGGAGGAGGAAAAGTGAAACTGGTGTTTATACTTAGTAGGGGGAGAGGAAGGCATGTGTTGACCAACATAAGGACGTACAAGCCATGCCAAGATGGCAATGTGGCTCTTACCCATTGGGGGAAAAGTTGACCCCATAGATCTCTTTGAGATGACCTTCCAGGAACATGATACAGCGCCCCGTGCGCAGGTCCCACACGCGGCCAAATGCATCAAGGCCGCTGAAAGAAAGCGAAAAGACGTCAAATAAATAGGTGTTTTCCAAACCCTTCTTCTATGGAGGCCACTGACCAGAGGTTCCCAACACCATGAAAGAGTGGCCAAAATAGTTTCTGAAAATCAAGACGGTGTCATCTCATGTGTCTGCAAGGTAAGGTTTAGTTGGGGCAGTTGCAAGCTGAAGCCAGGTCTGACAAAGCATAAAGGCCAGTTAGCACAAGGGAAATCAGAAGCTGCTCTGGTTACAATCTGCAGAGTTGGAAAAAATCACACAGGCACATCTGAAGGTCTTCTTTTAAACCTTAGCAAGGAACATCTTCATTCAAAAATGAAGTGTGGTGCCTAGGTTCTGTAATTTCCACCTTGGGAGCATTCTTGCTTGCAAACCTTGTAAATTTAGGCCCAAATTTGCTCAGTTATTTATTGTATCAATTTATCTCGCAACCGCGACCCTGGGTGACGAGCCTAGGATTACAGCCCAACAGAAACAACCAAAGCTAAGCAACTAACAACAGCAATCCTAACACAATCACAACATCCCATTCTTCTAAGGATACCACAAAGTCAAGCTTCCCTCAAGTGGGAACAGAAGGCTGGCATTAGGAAGGATCGCTGCTCGGTGTGGGAAGCGCCCTTAGGACCCCCTTCTGCACATCAGTGCTTTTGCACAGATGTTGACGGTTTACCCGGTGCCGGCTAGGGAGCCATCAACGTGGAAGGCTATGTCGTAGACCCCTTTGCTGTGCCCCTCCTGGTGGAGAATCTCTTCCTGGGCTTCAAGGTCCCACAAACGCCAGGAGTGGTCATAGCTACAGTGGGGGAAAGAAGAAAAATTAACCTAGCAGAGGTCCAGCAGGTACTCCCCCAGTTAAAGAAGGGAGGGTATCTGGGTTATAGATACCAGCCTTCCCCAACTTGGTGCCCTCTGAATGCACTGGGACCCCAACTCCCAGAATCCTCCGCCAGCTGGGGAACGCCTGGACCATTTCATTCCCCCCTCTTTAGCAGAGACAGTATTGGAGACTGTCTGGATCTCACTTCAGCTGGACTGGGGTCATTGGCTGATCCCTGATTATGAGGAGAATGGTGGTCAGAAAGAACAGGGCTTTTCAAGGGGGGGGCAACCATTCCCGGGGAATCCGTCCCCGGCCGCAGTACGCCAAGTCCCACTTCTATTATCCTTCAGGAAAATCCAAAATCTGCATTTCCCCCCCTAGATTCCTACCATTCTGCCTGAAACAATTCGAGGGAAGGACTGAGGTTAACAATTGCGTTCTGTTTTGATCCTCCTGTTTTGCCTTTCCCCAATGCTTAAGATACCAAGACACTTGAAATTGCTTTAAGAGGACACTTTGGCACTGGAACAGACTTAGAAACCTTGGACAGCTTTACTGAAAGCCTGAAATAAATTAAAGCCACCCTTTACATGCCTCACAGGCCGCTGCCAGGAGAGGAGTATGGATGGAAAGCAGTATCTTGCCAAGCTCAAAATGTTACAGAGCCAAGTTCACAGGGCGATTTACAGCAAGTCAGAAACAGCAAGAGTGGGGTGTGCCTATTCTGCCTCCCATCCTCAGGTGTATAATGCATTCTATGGATTTTTTACTCCTGGGGCTGAGAGGAAGTCAACTTTCCATCTTTGGATTTAACTATCTTCATTATTTTATTTTTTTTGTGGGGGTGGGGAGAGAGATCCTCTTACCACGTCGTGCCCAGAAATCTGCCAGAAGGATGCCATGCCACCCGGGCCACTCTCACAGTATGGCCTTCTATATCAGCCACTGGTTCATCGCTGAAAGAACCAAGAATGCCACATTAAGCATGAACTGAAATCACACCACGAAGGTGAAGAAGATGAGAAATGCGGGGGGTGGGGGCAGCATAATATGCTAAAAGATCCTTCTAAATGTCTAAATGTGGATTCTGGTACCTTTGATTCCTGCAAGCACATAAGCCTATCACATGTTTTGGCAAGCCCGAAATGGTTCTTTGCAAAATGGGGTCCTGGACAACGGTTTAGCTGGCTGCAAAAATACCGAAGCAGCTTAAGATGGTCCTTGTCTTTCCTGGGTGTCTGTTGGGAAGAAGAGGCTCCAGAAGATAAAAACTGAAGGCAAATTCCAAAGGGTTTGGAACATGCAAAAAGCCAGAAGTCTCAGCCAACCTTGCAGTTTTAAGAGTCAGCTACACGCCAATGTCCAACAGCACGCACCCATCAAAATAAAAGTCCATCGCATATACAACATAAAGACCCTGCACGCGGCAGGGATTGGGTTCAGATTCCAGCTTTTGGGGTTGCAAGGTTCAAAACAATGGGAGAGAAATTCATCTGCCTCAAGAGGCTCTTCCATAATGAATACTTTACCCCAAAAATAGCAGAGTTAGCAGTAATTTGAAAATCATTTATGGTGCTAGAATGTCCTCTTTCATCCCCCATGGATGCGGGTCAACCAGGATTCCTCAGCTGCCCTCTAAAGTTTGTGTCATTCAAGAAACTTTGGGGCACAACTTTGAGCAGAGCGCAACAGGCAACTATCAAAGACAGACAGGGAATCTTATCCATTAAGACAAATGACAGCACGTGTTGGATGAGGGGCCAGTCGGTAGTCAACAAAAATTCTTCCCTGTAGCAACACAGTGACTCAGAGAGAAATCTTTTCCCTAAAGGTCCCACTAGGCACAGAATTCGCTTTCTGTCTCTCTGGGCATCATTAAATATGCCAAACATAAATTAAGTGTAATTCTTAAGACTAGGAAGGGGAAAGAGCTGGAAATGTTCTGCAACCTCAGGGAGAAAACTGTGGGAAAGAATGAAGGGCAAAAGTTGGCTTCCATATGGTTATTGGGAAAAAAAGCTACAATCCAGACTCTTATTTGGATTGTAAAGGCTGATATATTTGTTAATTAATTTCTGCTGCCACTTGCAAAGGCAGGGCAACTCAACCACAGTTCCAATCTGCTGCACTCACGAGCTTATTCCGTGGGGCCTAATGCTGGTTCAGCAACATCTGAAGGGCTGTAAATTCTGGAACGCAAACTGAAATCATCAGCAGAATGTTGCAGCCACGCTCGATTCCTGCAGTGTGGATTTCAGCCTTCAATTACACTGGGGGGCATTTTCTGGGACTTAATGAATTTATGGGAGCGTTCATATTTTCAAGTATCTAGACCACGGTAGATCTGGCATCACTTATAAATGCTTTGCTTCGTGCAAGGATTTTTTTCCTTGTTTACTCCAGCCTTCCTTTTCCTTAATCATTTGTGTTTGGCCACTAAATTTGGGGCACAGGCTTTGAAAAGCAAGTCAACCTTTCCTTACCAGCAAAATTGGGGATCTACCGGAAATGGCCAGTAAGAAAGAATCCACATGTACCTTTCTAGACTCCAGAGCTTGACGGAGCCATCGGCTGCGCAGGACGCCAGATTTACATCCTTCTTGTCTAAAGAGATGGTTGCTTTGGGGTGGAAAACGATGGCCCCGACGTTCGTATTATGCCCTTAGGAGAGGCGAGAAAGCCTGCCAGTGAAAATCGACCTACCGCAGATTTGCTTGCCCGCTCTGAACCAGGCTCTTTCTGGTTTTTTTAATAAATCCCCAATCTGGCTGCAGAAATTTGCCACGTGCTGGATGGATCCCAGCTTCCACCCCCGGCTCCTGGAAGTTAGGTCTGGGAAACAATCCGGCTTGAAACACTGAAGATCTTCTGACATTTCTCTGGAGGCAAAGGGGGCCTTACAGAAACAGCTGGCCTATAACTCCCAATGTGGCCAATATTGAGGGCTGAATTGGAGACAATCTTGAAGGCCAGGAAAAGCAAGACGGGTTGTGGGCGGGGGGGGGGGGGGGGAG